TATAATATATATATATATACACACACACACACACACACACACACACATATGTAAGTGGATTTGCTCTTGTATATTTACCATCAATTGTTCAAGTGTGTTTATGACTTATAACAGGATCAGCCTTGCCTGACCCATCAAAAAATTATAGGTTGGAATTTTGTAAAAGAAACTGCAAAATGTCTTTTTCTAATTATGTCATATAATCTAAAAATTCAATTTTAAATGCTGAAAGAAGAAGAAGCACCCAAAAACAATAAGCCTATAGTTTATTATAAAAATTATATTCCAAAGTTTAAACCTAAACATTTATTTCAAGTACTATCATTGGTTAAGACTAATGGCAATACATTTGGGAAAAAAGAAAAAGATATTTTATCCAAAAAAAAGTAATAATAAAACTGAAAACTTGACAAAAACCTAATAAAAACATACAAATTATGGTCATTAACTTCTAACTAAGATGTTTTTAAAACTTGCCAAGAACTTCAAAATGTCTATGTCATGCTAAGTATATGAATAAACTAAAACATAAAACAATATAAAAAAGTGGAATCCAAACCAAATCTCATGAACTTTCAAAGTATTACATACGTACTTAAGACAATATCAGGTCATAGTTTTGTTGCTAAGCAACACCAATGAGCAGTGTGTTACCAAAAGACAAGTTGGCTTTTATTTATATATGTATATATTAAATGCAGACAAACACACATGGTGAAAGAAAAAGTCAAAACTGAGGTAGTTAATTACAGCAATAAAAAAATAACTTACAAAAAATAGTAGTTTGTTGTTTTCTTTCACCAACAGCAAGCTCCAGTTGATCCCACAACTGTGATGTAAAGTTTTTTTGGGAGTCTGTTACTGAGCCTTGAAGAACCATAGCCTGCTGGAGAGCCTTGTGATTTTCCAACCATGCCAGTGAAGAACAAAGAAGAGATAAGGTCTTTCCTGTTCCAGTTGGACTTTCCAGAATTCCATTAGCAGCCTGCATGTGGAATATTATGAATTATCATTATGAAATATGTATATCCCAGAACTTCCAGCCATTTCTGATGCCAAAATATAGGAAATATGCAGTTGTAAATGGAAGACCTTAAAAAAAAAAGAATCTCCTTCCTATCCATAAAAGCAAAGTTTTTCAACTAAATCTAAAAACAGTGTTGTGATACATTATTACATTATTTGAATATTATTACAGTATATCATATAATAGTATATTGTCTTAATTAATATAAAAAAATCAAGTGTTTAGAATCAAACATCAAAATGCTACTTAAGTAACATTAGTTAATTTCAATAGATAATTCTGTAATCCGTTCATACCAAAGAGTATATTTATTTCAGTTAATGTAACATAAAGATATCTATCTCAAATAAAACAAGTAAAAATGAGAGGGATCCAACAAAGAAGACACAGAATACTGCAGAAGATTAGGAGCAATGTAGTTATAATGGTGTATTCCAAATGTACAAAAATATCTAGAGGCTAATGCTCCAACACAGTAATTTACATGTTTAAATTGCCAACATAGAAACTTTACACAATAACCAGTATTTCACAAAGTAATTGACAACCAATTTACCACCTGACTACTGCAAAATTTCAAAATGTAATATTAGTCAAAATATAATACAACGTTACATGATATGATACTCAATTCATAACAACATACTGCAATAAAATTATCACAATGAAAAAAATGAAGAAATACTATATTCCCTATAACTAATATTTGGAACTTCACTTTTTATCTGCAATTTTAAACTTGCAACATTTCATTTTTTGCAGCATTAAGTTTTGAAAAGCAGGAAAATAAAGGAATCCTACCTAAGAAAAATACAGGAATCAATGATTTCCTGAAAAAGAAAGGATGAATTTAAATTTTTAGTTTTCTCAAAAGTGGATATGCAAGAGAAGCCTTGAAGGACAAAGTATTCCCTTACTGTCCAAAGGTAATTTTTTCTTAGGCTCATAACTTTAATCAAACAACATGCTTATTATACTGGAACTTTCGAATGTCATCCAAGTAAGGCACACGAAAACATGCATGCTTATCTACAGTCCAGAATCTATATATATAAAAGAGGAAGTTTATTTATTTGTTTATTTTGTTTGCTATAGGAAACCAAATGGTTGAACTTACAAATTTTAAAATAACCAGTTTTTTACAAGAAATTTAATGGTGCTATTTATTTTGTATTTGATGTAGTATTTAATGATGAAATTGACAATTAATGATTATTGCACCTTTTTTGTAATAAACATACAAACATAAGCACATTTCGCACATAGAAAGCATTATGGTGGTAGACACT